GTATGTGTGTGTATGTGTGTGTGAGCGTGTGTGTGTGTTTTATTTGCGGAAAGATATACCAGTATAATACTGACCTGAATGTATTGTTACACACACGCGCACACACACACACACACACACACACACACACACACACACACACACACATACACACTAACACACACACACACGCACACGTGCCCGCGCGCACGTAGTAACTTACATTTCTTTACACTATCACACTCACTGCACGAGCAGATGCACTCAACCAGCCACCACGATAAGCTGACAGAATGTAACGTGTTGCTTACTTACGCTTAACAGCTTAACGCTGCACAAAGTGTCGGTCGACACAATTAAACTTAACGGAAGTGCTGGGCGTGCCATTCCGAGAAAACAAAATTTCATGGATGCTTCGAAGGATGAAGTCACTATACGTGTGCTATCTGAATATCGTAAAAATGTTTTTGTTTTTTTATATAGTATACAGCACTCGTTATTTTAAACTCATTTTTACCTCTCTTATGATCTCGCTGTCTCTTAATCATCAAGTGTAAAGTATTGTTTTATTTTATTCAATGATTCTTATAATATTCTGTTTAATTTTGCAACGGGTTGAGAAGAAAAATGAAACAAAAATCCATTATCCGTGACTCAACTCCACTTCGAACAGCTGTGAACAGCGAAACTAAGATCGTGAATGTTGAATGTTAGAGTCTTAAGGACACAGCTCTGTTCGACAGGTAAGGGAAGGGTTGCACAGCCTATGAGCAGCACATCCTACCTGTTACACTCACTTTAAACACACTGCACTATATTGCCAATCGAATTCATTTATTTCTTTCAGTCAGGGCCAACCAGATTTGAGTACATGGAGGTGCAAAAGATTCCATTTTAGCTCAATTCGACCGAATTCAGTTAAATACGACTGCGAATTTCAGTATCAAACATGTTTGTTTTTCAAGGTCGCCAGTCGAATCGGTCGTATTGCGCCCAAATGCCCCCTTCAAAGAAGGAAAAGTGGGTGGTTGGCGTGTGCTCTGGTGTGGTTTTCTTCTTCTTTCCTATCAAACATCTATCGTCCTTATCTCCCTTTCTTCTTTTTTATGTTTGTTACTCTCTTGTGTAACACCTCTAATCTCCTGGCGCTCATAGTATGTATGACCTTATGCAGTTGCGAGCGCCGTAAAACCTCTACTAAAACTAGAACGGAAATGAAGGAAAAAAATATGGCTGGCCTCGACTCAGATAGATAGATCCGATTGGCAATGTGCAGTGTGCAGTGGGTATAACGGTTGCCGAGCCAGAGAGCCGTGCACCCTCGATCTACCTGTTGCACTCAGTTAGCGTTATTTACAAACATCTTTCTGATGAAGATCCCTTGAGCGTTGTTGAGGGTGGCGAGACGTTGGCAGGAAACAAAGAACGAAGGGAGAGACAGAAGGTTATAGCGTAAACATACATGAGGCTGTCTCTGCGTCTTTCAAACTATTTCTTCTTAGTTTATCCCTTAGAGCATGGTTGCAGTTTTTTGCCTATCTGTCTGTTTTTGTCTGTCTGCCTGTCTGTGTGTCTGTCTGTTTCATCCACTCCTCCACTCCCCCACCCCCTCTTTTTTTTTCTCTCTCTGTCTCTCTGTCTCTGTCTCTGTCTCTCTCTCTCTCTCTCTCTCTCTCTCTCTCTCTCTCTCTCTCTCTCTCTCTCTCTTGAAAACAAAAACAATTGCTTTCTGGGTATAATACATTTGAACCACTTGCCGACGATCAGAATGTATTGAAGCGAACTACACAACGTGAAAACCCTTTGTGTTTCCCCAGAGTGGACCCAGCTGACAGCTACTACAACGGTCGCTGCGCCACAGGACACACGGCGGAAAGTGGACCTCTCCAGGCCTTCTCACAATGTCTCTCAACTGACAGTGTGGGCTCTGTGGACATCATTGACTCCTACCTGACTTGCTACATGTTTCAAGAATTTGATTTAGGTAATAAAGCTTAACCTGTTAGGTTTTTTGTTCATTTCTTTTTTTTTCTTTGGTGTTATATTTTTAACATTTTTTTTTGCTTGTTTGTTTGCTTGTTTGGTTGATTGGTTGATTGGTTGGTTGTTTGTTTTTGTTTTTATTTTGTTTTGTTTTGTTTGTTGTTGTTTGTTTTTGTTTGTTGTTGGTTTTTCTTCGGGGGGTTGAAGGGGGTTGGGGGAGGGGGGGGGGTATACTCGTGCATTGCAATCTTCTTAAAATATTGCTTCTTTACATTTTCCGTCATTTCCCTTTTATATTAAAATTGATATTTTATAATTATGTACTAAGCTTTTATCCCAGTCATACGTATTTTAAGTAGAACTAGTTTTACCAATTTTTTTACGATGTGTACAAACTTCATTTTATTGGCTCAAGTTGGTAGGTCTCCGAATTCTTTAAGAAAGTAAGCTCTCGTGTTCTGCTGTTCTCTGTATTAATCAAATAAACTGAGCATCATGTTGCGAAATAAGAAGGTTCCACATATTCTTACAAACAGGGAGGGCGGGCAGGGAGTGGGAGAAGTGGTGGGACTTGTGTTGGTGTACGATGCTTGCTCTTACACAAATAAAAATATTGTCGCACTAAAGAAAGGTTGATTTTTCATTACGCAATCAATTTATTTGTTAACAGCTCATTGGTTTAGGGAATTGTGAGTCGAACAATGCCAAAGAAGTAACGCAGCTCCGACCCCCCCCCTCCCCCTGCCCACTTCCCCAAACCGGCTGCCTCTCCTGTGATATCATCTCCCCCTCCCCTCTCCCTCCACCCTCCTGCACCCCACCTCTGTTACCTATTTTGTGATAGTAAGCTTTTGATTCCTTTGCTGTGATTTTTTTCATTCTACTGCTGTCTGTCTCTTGGCTCTAGCATTCACTAACCTTGTCTTTCCAAGGGCATCATCTTTATTTCCAACTACATCCCGGGGAAAAGAATGCATCACTAACAAACATGGCATAAAGAAACGTTCCTGGTTATTGTTCTTTGCTTTTTTGTTTGTTTTTTGTTTTGTGTTTTTGTTTATTTGTTTACTGTTGTTTTTTTAATAAAGTAATCTGTAACAATTTGTAAAGGATCTGACAGTAATAACCACTACAGAAGGAGCGAATTGTATAAGAATTCTTAACATTTTTTCTCTAAACTTTATGTAACTCGTTTTCATCAATTGTGTCTCTGTTACTGACAGGTGCGGACGTCACCAGCTTTTTAAAGGCTACTCAAACCTCCCCTGGAAACTGTGTCGAAGGAGACAATCTAGGAAACGTGTTTAGTTATGATTCCACAACTGACAGCTCGGACAAAGTAAGTTATAGACGCCCACACGTCAGCATCTAGCCTGTTAAATTGTACTCATAGCCTAGTAGTTCGGTAGCATGTTTTAGTAAATTTGACACAGTTCGAGTTTTAAAAAAAATGCATTTTAACGATTATGTTTTCCGTCATATGACGTTGCAATGTTGTTGCTTTTTCTTAAAAGCTTGTGAATAAAACTTAGCACCAGACAAAATTAAATGTCACATTATTCCAACACACAGTTCATTGCCTTCAGTAACATACTTTTTGAAATTCATAATAGCACTGGGCTGCGTGTAGGTGCTGTTTGGTGACATTGATTGTACGAAACAGTTCCAAAGTAGTTTGATGTATTTGCCCTTAATGATCCTCATTGTGTTCTAAACTCCTAAACCTTGAAATGACAGAAAAATTATGTCCGTGAAAATGTCTATCAACCCAACAGCCAAGTTCGTATCCAGTGAACTGGGATGAGAACACGGCACGAGAGGAATGTGAAAGGACTGTCAACACCAGTGCTGTAGCAGAGAAATGTCCCACAAGTTTGCTCAGTGAAGAAGATATAGCCAATTGCATGTCTGATATCAAGGTAAAATCTTTAGACAAAATCCATTCGGTATAGTTAATTCAGCATTATGAATTAAACAACCTTCCTTGTCGTTCCCATTGGACACCTCCCCTCCCCCTTTAAAAAAAGTAGATTCATGACTTTTGTTCCTTTAATAATCAATGCACAAGATGCTATAATGGATGACTGTTTATTGTTGAGGATGAAAGTTAACGCAAGGCGACTATGTCAAGAAATACTGCCCGAGTATTAAGGCAATCTTGACGCTGGTAAACTATTATGATCTAACAGCTGACGGGAGACAGTGGTTGGTCAAGGACGTCTATCGAGCTTCTGAAGGAAAGATGCAGAAATGTCTATGGACAAGCAGGTCCACCAAATGCTGTGCTGAATGTGATGTGCCCCCAGGATTGTTCTTCACAGGGGAGATGTACACAAGGTCAGATAAATAATTTAGGTTTACTTTTTCCCTTTTTTAGTGTAATAGTTTTAAAACACTTGCAATACAAAAGGGTCATAGAAGTGCCAAAGATTAGAGGTATTATTGAGGAGTTCTTTTTCTTGAATAAAGAGAAGCACATTGACACAGCAATGGCCATTTAGTGCTGGGGAAAAAATAAGACAAACAAAAAGAAACAACAAAAATGAAGTAAAGATCTAGGACCTACCAGTGGCACCTTTAAATCACCCATTATTAGAAGGTCAGATACTGAGAAAAGAAGCAGAGATAAGGATGATAAACGTTTGATAGGAAAGAACGAACAAACCACACCAGAGCACCTGCTATCCATCCACTTCTTCCTTTGCAGTCACTGCAATAGCAATTGAAGTTACGAGTAATGTTTATAATACTTTAGTTTGAGCTGCAACCTCTGTTTTTGAAATGACGAAGCAAAACGATATGCACTTATATATTATTTGATGTGACGTCCCTTTATATAAGTATCACATTTCAGACAAGTCATAATTACATTATGCCTATTTTGCAAAGTATTTATTTGTTAAAACTCTACCATCTGCTGCTGTATTTCAGGCTCCTGTGCGTGCAGCCCAGACTTTGGAGGAGCCGACTGCTCGTACAACACCAGCGTTGCTCCTCAAATTCAACAGCTCGTCCCAGCCCAGTGCAATATTCTCGTTGACACATGTGACTCTGTCATTATTTTTGGAGACGGTTTCCTGAACACTGCAGACTTGGCCTGCTATATCCAAAGCATTGAGGTAAAGCTCCAAGCAGAAACGTGAAGTCAAGTCCTGTACTTGCGATGTAAAATTTGTATGCACCTTGTATTAATGATGCTAATTTGAGTCGAATCATGCAATTAATGAGTTTTACACCTTGTAAATACCTTAGACTAACACAATAATAATATTCAGATTTTAAGAATATGAATCGCATAAAATGCAGAAACGTTTTCTCAGGCGAATGTTAAAGAAATATACGTGGGG